CAGCAGAGCTACCAGACATACAAGAAGAGAAATTATTAGAAGTACTAGCCAACCATCGAGAAGCTATTGGATGGAGTATGGCTGATCTCAAAGGGATTGATCCCTCGGTATGTATGCATCGTACTTTCTTAGAAGAGGACTCCAAACCTTCGCGAGAAACACAGAGGCGGTTAAATCCAAATATGAAAGGGGTGGTGAAATAGGAAGTAGTCAAGTTACTTGATGCAGGGATTATTTACCCAATTTTAGACAGTCAGTGGGTAAGCCCGATTCAAGTGGTTCCAAAGAAATTTGGAATCACTGTGGTGAAAAATTCTGAAGGTACTTTACTTCCCCAATGCACTACTATGGGATGGCGAGTGTGCATAGATTATAGCAAATTGAATTCCAAGACACGGAAGAATCATTTTCCTCTCCCCTTTATTGATCAAATATTGGAGAAACTGGCAGGGAAGAGTTTTTATTGCTTCTTGGATGGGTATTCTGGATATAATCAAGTTGTTATTTATCCCAACGATCAGGAAAAGACAACTTTCACTTGTCCGTATGGTACTTTTGCCTACTGCCGTATGCCTTTCGGACTCTGTAATGCACCAGCCACTTTTCAGAGATACATAATGGCTATTTTCTCTGATATGATTGAAAAATATCTAGAACTCTTTATGGATGACTTCTCGGTGTTTGGGTTTTCATTCGATAATTGCCTAGAGAATTTAGTGCTTGTTTTTCAATGATGTAAAGAGAAGAATCTAATCTTGAGTTAGGAGAAAAGTCACTTCATGGTGCAAGAAGGAATTATCCTTGGCCATATAATATCCAAGAGAGGAATTGAAGTAGACAAAGCTAAGGTCGATCTTATCTCTAATCTTCCTCCCCCGTCATCGGTGAGACAAGTGCGATCATTTATCGACCATGCAGGATTTTACAAACGTTTTATCAAAGACTTCAGTAAACTTGCAAGGCCTTTATGCAATTTATTGGGCAAAGATGTTCCTTTTCACTTTGATGAAAAGTGTTTAAAGGCAATCGAGTAACTTCGCTCTTTACTATCCTCTGCACCCATTATGCAGGCTCCAGATTGGTCTTTCCTTTTGAGATTATGTGCGACGCATCAGACTATTCAGTGGGCGCCGTCTTGGGTCAGAGAATGGAGAAATTACCAAGAGTAATTTACTATGCAAGCAAGATCTTAACAGAGTCACAATTAAACTATACCACTACTGAAAAGGAATTATTGGCGGTGGTATTTGCTTTGGACAAGTTTCGCTCTTATTTGTTAGGTTCCAAAGTTATTGTGTTTTCTGATCATGCAGCTCTCCGACATTTGCTCAACAAAAAGGACACCAAGCCAAGGTTGATTAGGTGGATTCTATTGCTACAAGAATTCGACCTAGAAATCAAAGACAAGTAAGGGTTCAGAAAATGTGGTGGCAGACCACTTATCCAGAATTTTGGTAGATTCATCTTGCACTCTTCCATTGCATGATTCATTCCCAGATGAACAGTTATTTCAACTTCAGAAGGAGAAGCCACCATGTTATGCTGATATTGTGAACTGGAAGGCGTCTAGAAGAATTCCGTCTGATTGGACCAAACAGGATAAAGATAGGTTTTTCTCCCAAGAAAAATATTATCATTAAGAAGATCCACAATTATACAAGTATTGTTTAGACCAAATTATCCATCGCTGTGTACCAAATAATGAAATTCCAAGCGTTCTGAAATTTTGTCACACACTTGCTTGTGGTGGCCATTTTAGTGGAAAGAAGACGGCAACAAAGGTCCTTCAAAGTGGGCTAATTTGGCCTTCCTTGTTCAAAGATGCTCACAAGTTTGCCAAGGCCTATGATCGATGTCAACGGTTGGGTACTGTGATACCCCTCGGATCCGAGACACGGGTTGATCAGGCCCAGGCCCAAAACCCGAGGGATATCAGACAATTAATATTTTAACGAACACAGAATACAAAGAGAAATAAGAAATAAAAGTAATACACTGAAAGAATACTAAATTAAAAATCCTCAAATATAAATATTAAAATCTGATGATTCAAAACCTCCATAAGTTTAACAATTCGGGAATCCATCTCTAGTGGACCCCTAATAAAACTCCAAACTAAATGAAAGTAAACTGAAACATAAAATCCAAATCTAACATCTGGAAAGAAGTCCTGCGTCGTCGGTAGAATAGAAGATCGTCTCTGCTCAGCTCGAACAAGCCCTAAGACTGGAAACGCCCGATACCTGAAAAAATGATAAGTGGGTCAGGCCCACTAGCAAGTTCTATACTACTACTACCCAAGCAGAGACCCGATACGCATGTACATCCTAACCAATCCAACAATAGCTAAATAGTCCGTAGATATATATATATATATACACACACACACACATAATCACACTACAGGACTTTTACTGGACTACAAGCCCGTCTCAACCTGACTAGTAGGCATCATGCAAAACGCACCTGGGGTGGGCATGACTACCTAGACCTAGTAGGGTACACATCTAACCATCATAGCCAGCTATGCATCCCAATGCATATACGATCCCTAACCAATGACTCAGAGACTCAGGCTCATCTCGTGGCATTATAAAAATATATTTAAATTTCATTCCAAACCAAAGTGTCACTCAACTATTTAGTGATCTGACATAAAATACAGGTAAGACTTAACTTTTGTAGTTAATCCATCCCTTAATCCAGAGTAGGTAGGACTTAGCGTTTTTGAGCTAATCCCTCTAGTATGTCACCGTCCCATACTAGTGCATACAACCATCCATCTAGTTGTTGATAATACAAATGACCATATTAATATTAATATCAACAAATCAATAACAAGTATAACACCATCCATCCAATTGTTAACAATACAGATGATATTATAAATATCAATATCCACACATCCATAACAAGTACATCAAGAATGTATAAATAGCATGTTTGTCATAAATGAACAGTACATGATTCTCTAATAGTTTAAGAATGCAGAGAATAAGTGTAATCCATCCTTTAATTCCCTACAGCATACTAATATCACTATCAGAATTAACATGCTACCATAAACTACTCCATATCATCCGGTACGCTGATAATACATAATAACTTGTAAACATCAACTAATTTTCTGTTAAGCATAATCGACATTATATAAATTGAGATGCTTAATCCTATACCACTGTCATATGATTTAAACATAAAATTCCTAATTCAATTGTTAATTTTAAAACAAGCAACTTGAATTTTCCTAAGAGTTTCCGGTTGTTCCTTATTTTAGCTTCTTATGGAAGATTATGAATTACCAGGCCTTCTGAAAATTTAATACAGGTTTAGACCTTACTGAAAACCTTTAGAAACACTCTGTTTTCAGCCTAGAACGTAAAGAATTCAATCCCCGTAGCCCAGGTCTCGCAGAAAATCAAAACTGGAAGCAAAATCAAAGGAGCCAGCTCCACCTATGGTAGAGCCGCCTCTAGACTCTAAAGAACCGGCTCTACCTAAGGTAGAGCCTACTCCTCTTTTTGGTGAGCCTGCTCTTCTTGAAATAGAGCAGGCTCCTCCCCCTGTGCATCGTCTTCTCCAATTCCGGCAGTGTCCGGCAACTGTGTTCCTCCAACCAAGTTTATTACTGATTAAAACTAAGTCCTAGGGTGTTCCAAAGCCAATTAAATTCATTACTTATTAATCAAAATCCATTGGAACAAGGATTACGCAAAACAGATTTAAAACAAGCACAATACTTAAGCGGAAACACATACTGTTTTGAACAAATTTCATGCAACCAAGTAAATTAATTTAGCTTTTACTCATCCTGGGATTGTGTTAGAGATGCAAAGAACACAGGGCAAAAAGATAGAGTTAGTTATAAAACTTGCCTTACACCGACGGTCCTTCCCAAGTTCTCCGGTGAAACTCTCTGTTTGTTTTCTCTCTCTGTTTCCTCTATGCCTCCACAGGAACTTACATTTTTGTTTTGTTTTTTTTCCTTAAACCCTAAACCACCGCAATAAGCCTATTTATAACCTTAAACATTAAACCCTAATCCATGTATAATTCGGCCCATAGGTAAACCTAGGTTATATTCAATGTCGGCTGCCTATGAAAACTATAAACCCAAAATAAAGCTATATGACAGTCACGGAAAACCAGTCATTTTAAAAATAATTAACTTAAAACAATTAAATTATTAAATCCCATTAATTCAATGAACATAGTTATATAATTAAATTAAAACAATTAAATCCATAAGTACGACAACTAAGTAAAACAGAACAATTAAATAAATTAAAATAAGTAATCAAATACAACTAAAACAATTAAATCAAACCAAAGAAATAAACAAAAGCAATTTTAAACAATAAAATTAAATACCGGGACTATCCTTTTGAAATTAGGGGTATTACAGGTACCATTACAAAAAGAGACATGATGCCTCTCTCCTCAATTTTGGTTATTGAAATTTTCGATGTCTGGGGCATTGATTTCATGAGGCCATTCCCGATGTCGCATGGCAAGGAGTATATTTTGGTAGGGGTGGATTACGTCTCCAATATGGGTTGGTAGTGAAAAAAGGGTATCATTCAGGCATTGCAATTGCAAATGCCTTGATTGATATGTATGGAAAATGCAAATTTGTTAAAGATGCATTGGGGATTTTCGACATGATGGTTGAGAATGATATTTTTTTTATGGAACTCTATCATATGTGTTCATGAACAGTTTAGTGATCATGATGGAACCCTAAAACTTTTTGTAAGGATGTTAAGGTCTGGATTTTAGCCTGATTTGGTCACAGTCACAACCATCCTTCTAGCTTGCTCTCATTTGGCAACATTGCTGTAAGGTAAAGAAATACATGGATAGATGATTATTAATGGGTTAGGCAAGGATGGTGATGATATATATGTGAATAATGTTGTTTTGGACATGTATGCAAAATGTGGGAGTATAAGGGAAGCTCACTTGGTTTTTGATAGGATGGGCTATAAAGATGCAGCATCATGGAACCAGAGCACTGTGGAAGTTTTGTATTAATGTCAAATGTTTATGGAGCAGGTGGTAAATATGAAGAGGTATCGGAGGTGAGACATATAATGAGGCAACAAAATGTGAGGAAGACACCAGGTTGTAGCTGGATTAAACTCAGTGATGGTGTGCGTGTTTTTGTTACTGGTGATAGGACTCATCCTGGTGACTGCTTTATTTATGCTGAATTAAATTCCTTGACTGCTAGTCTGCTTGATCATGGATATGTGCCAGATATCTAGCCTGAATGTGAAGAATGTAAAATTCTTTTTCCCCGAAACGAGCTGAAATAAAAGTATCTTACACAGTAGATGTAAAATATCAGAGAGTGATATAATTGGTTTGGTTTTACATTCCAGATGAAATGATTCCTCATGCGTGATCAAAATCATACATTTTACACATCAGAACAGATTTGTAGACCAGTGGAAAGTATGGTTAGCTGCGCAACACTAGGACAGGAGTATAAATCATGCTGCCAATCTGCTTATTAAAATAGAAGTTTCAGATTGACTCATCTGCATTTTATTTGTTTCTCAAGGTACTTTAAGGGCTTTGAATGTATGTTTCTGATTTCAAGATGATGGCCTTGAAAGAACCATGTGACCTATCTTAATTTTGAGTTGCAACTTGGCACAATTGCTTGTGATGTAAAACAGGATAGATAGGGGTGAATGGTGCAAAAAGGTTTCGCATAGCCAAAGAAAAGTAGTTATGATATAAATTTTTGATTACTGAACTATCCTTTATCAAAGGATTTATGCTTAGATTATGAATTTAGAATGCTTATTATTAGAAATCTTTTTAATTTATTTTGGTATCTGACATAATCCTTACAGTGAATTTTTTTTTTAACCAAACCCTTCTCTTCTCTCTATGATCATTTGAGTGTTGTTTTTTTATTTCTTTTTAATGGAGTTGCACTTGTTTTGGCTGAGAAAAAATTAAGATCCTTGACATCACAGTGGACAAGCAATGGCCATTGCTTGTCCACTGTGATGTCAAGGATCTTAATTTTTCACCTCACTGTTGGTATCACCTTAATTTTTGTTTATGTTCTGTATGTTATATGTGAGAGCATCATACCACTTTGTACCATATCACGAACTATCATTTGTCAATACCTCATTGTCCTGGGTCTAAATGTGTATGTTCACGGATTTTCCATCTTCTCCCCATGTTATAAAATCATTATTCATGACCCTGTTCTCATTATTGGCTTTGATTTTAATCAGGGGTCATGCGCTGCAAAAAAAAAAAAAAAAATAGAAGAAGGAAGAAAAGAAAAGGAAAGAAGAAAAGAGGCTTATGTCAACATGTTACATTGATGCTGCCGCTAATGATACCTGATAGGCGCTGAATGTTATACATTTTAGTCGCTTTGCTTGCATGTTTTATTCACATAGTTTATTTGTGATTTTACATTGTTTTATTGTTTTTATTTATTTCAGAGCTTTAATTGTAAAATCAGTCAAAACCAGTTACTTTGAGATTTAAAAGATAACATTCCGTGGGACCGAGCAATATTGAAGATCAAACTCTAATTATACATAGAAATTAGTCCAAAAGAAGCCACAAGTTGATGAGAATGGAAAGAAGAAGAAAAGGAAAAATCCTTCTCCAAAAAGGAAACTTTCGCCAAAGTTGGTAACTTGAACCCGTTTTGATAATCTGGCTGTATCTCTCTCCTCGAGCGTCAAAACGGCTAAATTCTCAATGGGTTGAAAGGAAATTCGAAGGACAACAATTTTGTGTTTCACGAGGATTCCCTAAAATGACTGTTTACCTTGTAAAAATTGGCCTGGAAATCTGCACGAATTTTGAAGTCCTTATTTGATAGAATTTCTATGTATGTCTCCTATATGAAATAGGGAACTTTAGGCCCAATCTATTATTATTTAAAGGGAGTCTTCTACAACGTTGAATCATCATACAGAGGAGCGAGGCTGAGATCAGAGAGGAGCATTCAGAAGAAAGAAAAGATCGATCCATGGTGTTGCCGGGGATTTGTTTTAGTTCTTGACAGATACTATTAAATTCTATAATTAATTTCAACTAGGATTTTAGTTTAGGTTTTTTATTTATTTTTTTTTTATTATTTTTTATTATTTTGATATTGTTTTCTTTTAATTATTGTAGGTGACATTATATGCTTGGAAGACGTTCTTTGTCATTCCCTCAGCTTCCGTTAGACCCAGAAATCGAAAGGACTCTCAGAAACTTGAAGAAAGATTTTGAAGGCCTTCAAAAGGAAAAGATGGCGGATGATCCACCAGCTGCAGAAGCAGTTCGCTGTTTAAAGGATCACTACGAACCAAGTGCATAATGGAGATATTCAAGCAGGTGAAAATAAATCTCCCATTGCTTTTTCTTTAATCAAAACCTAAAGGGTGCGAGTGCAATTTATCCTAAACTTTAATTTTCATATTTGTTAAATTCTTTTATTTTATTTTATCATGCTCCATGTGCCCCTTAAATAAATTCCTTGTTCTATCACTTGCAAGAGACAAAGATAAAAGAAAATGCAGAAGTACATTTTTGGCAAAAGTGTATTTTTTCTCTAAGGGTATTCAGCGATGCTCCATTCATCATATTTTTTAAATTTAACTGCTATATTAGTTAAAATTATACCATTACAGTGGTGTGAACTTCATTGTTATTATTATTAATATTATTTTTATTTTTTGCCATTTGTAAAAAATTTACCCACATTATTCACTCACTTTGCTCTTTTAAAAATGTGAACCTTCACCGTCCACTGTGAGAGATACCATAACAGAAAGGACACGGAATAAAAATCACTTTCCAATAAGAAAGATAAATATATAAATACAAAAACCAAGTCAAATGATCTTACTCTAAATTGTTTAAGAAAATAATGGTTACAATCTCTTTAAAAAATAATTTGAGAAGGTTAAAATGAAAAATTCATAATTCAAATAAGTCAATTCATAAGTCAAAGACAATAATGTACTTTTACAGCTCAAAATCTCGAGAAAAATGCTCCAAGTGAATGACAAAACTCGACCTCTTCCTCTTCCCTATTTGGGAGTCAATCGGATATCCTTGAATAAGAAAAACAGCAATAGAATCTCAATCAAGCTGGTACGAGGGAGAGGGAGCGGCTAATGCATGCAGCAACAACAAACACGGAGCAGCAAGGGGTCCGTCAAGACATCTGAAAAGCTGTTTTTCATTAATTACGGATTGTCAATAGATTTCCTAGCTTAAATCCTCTTCCTATTGATCTTGATTAGTTCCAGCTTTTCCATCACAACTAGTTCCATCTCATAGGTTGCAAGAAAATAATGGTTACAATCTCTTTAAAAAATAATACCACATTTAAAATAGGGTAAAGTGCAAAAAAACCCCTTCAACTATTGGCCATATGCAATTAACCCCCCTGAACTACAATTTGCCCCCTTAAACTATTGAATTTGGTGCAATTGACCCCCAATGTGACATCTCCGGCCAATTGGTGTAAACGGAAATAGTAAAAGACAATTTTACCCCTGTATAAAGCCACGTCGTTTCAAAAAAATTTAGCAACCACCAGCTAAAAAAATAAATTTTGAAAAAAAAAAAAAAAAAAAAAAAAAAAAAAAAAAAAAAAAATCAGGCCATCACCGTGAGTCAACCATGGCCGAACCAGCCCATCACCGTTCAGCCCACCATTCAAGCTCGTCCCCACTGCCGTCTCTTCATCCGCAAGCTCACAGCCGAAGTTACAACCAGCTTATCGCCGTTCAGCCGCAACCAGCCCATCGCCGCGAGTCAACCATGGCCGAACCAGCCCATCGCCGTTCAGCCCACCTTGCTCATCGGTCCTCTCCATCATCCGAGCTTTATCCCTGCAGCCGTCGCTTCATCTGAGCGCCGCCGAGTCATCCACGGCCGAGCCACCGCTAATCCAGCTCGCCGATCTCACCGCTGCATTTCGCTGCTGCCGCCACTTCACTGCCGGTCCATTCCTTGCCAGAGTCACCATCGCCGTCCAGCCCCCCACCGGAGGAATCACTATTCCTCCCGATCGACCAAAGCATACAAACAGAGACAAACAAAATTATACGATCATCAGTTTGTGCATATATATGTATATAGAATTACAGAAACGATATAGAGAGAGAAAGAGGAGAGGAGAGAGAGAGTGCGAATAAATTGAGGAAAATAAACCTTTATCCTCTGAAGCGAATTCTGAGTTGTGATATTTGTGGTTATCGGAGTCCAAGCTTGTGCACCTCACGGCCAAGAGTCATCCGTCTACACGACCTGCCTTCATCGGCTCCGCGCCGACCAAGAGCTCATCACACAGCCGCCAGATCTATTCTCACAGCTCTTTTCTTGTCTCCTCCAGATCCGCCGCGAGCTCGATCCACCATAGCCGGATCTGTTCTCACCAACTTTTCACTGCCATCAACATCCTCAAGCTTGCCGCGCTGCAAATCCAAGTCCAAGACCCAGATCTATCTCGCCGGTCATTTCCATCCTCACAGCCGAATCTGTCTCGCCGGCCATCTTCATCCTCGAAGGTGTAGTTGTGGGGACGGACGGGACGGTGGTGATGGTATCGTCTGTTTTATTGACGATGAACAGTGTATATTTAGTATAAGGGCGTGTTTGAGTGTTTTAAGTGGTTTTGGGTATAAAGGTAAAGGGTTGTATGGTCATTTAAAGAAATTTGGTTTGTCACGTGACCCATCACGTGCGTCTTCACGGCCAAAGTCAACCGGCTTATCACCGGAGGGGGTTAATTGCACCAAATTGATTAGTTCAAGGGGGTTATATGTCAAATTAGTAGATCAGGGGGGTTAATTACATATGACCAATAATTGAAAGGGATTTTTTGCACTTTACCCTTTAAAATATAGTGAATAATTTTTATTCACTGTATGTTCGATAATAGGTCCCATTATATTGATTAACGTGCATCAAACATGCAATTCTACCCGTACTCTTTGCTTTTACGAAAGAGTATAGTCATGAACGGATTAGACCCCCTCTAATAGAGTTTTTTTTTTTCGTACAAGTTAAATTAAAAATTAGAGGAGCCGAAAGCTCATAGCACAGCTTCCAAGGACGACGAAGAATAACTCAACCACTGAGCTACGAAAACAAAAGTTAAACAATCATCCAATGAGGGAGAGAAAAAAAAAAAAAAATCATCTACCGCATTGACTCGAGACCTAAACAGTCGTCCCATGAAGTTTGAAATCAAATACGCCGGCATCGGGCTAACTAGAGATGTTCATATTATGATCTAGCTGGAGGTGATATTCATATACACAGCAAAGTCCTTCATATTAGGAACCAACCAACCAGATTTGGGTATCAAATTCAAATGGTAACATTATATTTGAAGTCTCCAACCCTCATTATAAAGTTCATAACCCAAATTATAAGACCCGCCCAAGTTATAATCCAATGTGCAAGGCTGCAGGGTCCATCTTCCCTGTTTATAGCTTCAAGAAAATGTCATTCATGGAAAACAAGAATTGAACCACAACCCAGATAGAAAGAAATAGTAGCAGCATAAACTTCCACAATAATAAATTGCAACACAATTGTCACATAAACTGTAAATAGTTTTAAGACTAGAGGCTAAATACTTTAGAAAGAAAATGTCACAAGCCAACATTTTAAAATTTTATAATTAACTTCAGCTTAACCTCAAAGCAACACCAATAAAAATGGGGAATTCGACAACTGCCAACACCGACATGGTTTCGCCTGGATAAGAACAAGCTTACAGCCTTCTCCCTCTCCTACCACCCTTTCTACGAGTGCTGTCGGTGGGAATTGGGGTCACGTCCTCTGAAACATAAAATTACATGTTGTCAAAATTCATTAGAACTAATTAATTGCTGGCAATATTCAACAAAAAACACAATAGGAACCTAAGGATCAACAGCATAACAAGGATATGCAATCTTTATTCTACTGTTCATGAAAAAATAGTATAAGATATCTTCAAATGGAGTAATAGGGAAGCTCTCAAGAAATAGAAACTTTACCAATGCGACCAATTCTCATTCCTGAACGAGCAAGGGCCCGGAGAGCAGACTGAGCACCTGGACCTGGTGTTTTTGTCTTGTTCCCACCTGTGGCACGGAGCTTAATATGAAGGGCAGTGATACCAAGTTCCTAAAAGGGAAAAGAAAAAATAAACCCGTATTACTTTGAAGAAACCAAGACATTAAATTTCATTCTGAATAAAGAATTATCAATTGGAAGTTCAAAATCCAGCCAAAAAAAAAGAAAAATAAGAAAATAAAACGACTAGTTCAGACAAAAAACACTCATATATAAAAGAGACTGCAATAAGGAATCTAATGGAGTTGACTAAAGAAAAGAAATGCGAAAACAGAAATAAGTAATTAAAAATTAGGGACCTAAAATAAATATTCAAATAACCATGATCATTATATGCTGCAAAACAGAATGATGACAACCTTGCATCTTTGCGAAACATCCTGAGCTGCAAGCATTGCTGCATATGGGGAAGACTCATCCCTGTCTGCTTTCACCTTCATACCACCTGTGTTTTTAATAGATAGAAAGTAGATTGTCAAACATATAATTGAATTTTTTTCTTAATGTAAACAAGAGAAAATAATGAAACATCCACATCCCTTGAGAAGTCATTAAAAAAAAAAAAAACACAAAGGTTTCCTAACCCTCTGAATATATTCATCGTGAATGTAGTAACCAATGAAATAACTTTACATGAAAATCATTTTGTCTCGCACGCATAAATATATAAATAATACTTTGCAATTAGGTATACACTTATTTATTCTACTCAGCCCCATGAACAAAAAAGCCTTTCAAGGCAAAAATTGATATCCGTAGGGACCATAATCTATAAATGGACAATCTACTTGGCACCATTTTCAATGCTATCAAAGGAAGATTACCACACATTCAACTTAAATGGAAAAAATAACCCTTACCAGTAATGCGAACAAGTGTTTCTCGTCCAGACAAATCAGTCACATGCTGCATGTTAAACAGAAAACCCCACCCATTACCGGCCTCAAAGATGCTAATTAATAAAATATCAGCCAAAAATATTATTAATATTATTATAAAAAAACTTTTTAACTTACAATGAACGTGTCATTGAAGGATGCAAAAATGTGAGCCACCCCAAAAACATGCTCTCCATCTCTTACGCTGGGTCCAAGTGTCACATTCTCTTCCTTTGGCTCCCTAGCCTTTCTCTTGGACTAATTCATGATACATCCACAAAAAAATTGAATATGACATAACGTAATATAAAGCAGGAAAAGTTTAAATTCAAAACTTAGTCCAATTAGAACTTTGGTAGTTTTTTTTTCTTCTTGTATAAATAAAAAGAATCTTGATAAATGAAAGCCACACTGACATTCAGTGACAAATATAAAAGTCCTGAATCACAAAGCTACTTTATGTTACTCAAAGTTCAGAAAGTCATCAAAATAACCCTTAGTAAGGAAAACTGGACCAGAGAATGAGAATGAAGGTACGTCAACTGTTGGACTTTTTCGTGTGGTAGTTCTTAGCACCTTTAGTTTAGTGAAGCCAAAACCACAGATAGGATTTGGGTTTATTTATGCTTGGGGAAGGTGTTAGGCACCCCAAGAGGCCCGTTCCAAGTATGCTAAATTCCATTTCAATTCATATGATTGTGCACGAGCTAAGATGCCTAATGGTTAATCATCGGATGAAACCAAGAAGTTACCAAAAGTCCAATTGTGAATGACATTAATAAATATGCCAGATTTGCACAAGGAAATGAGATATTTTTCAACAAACACATACTGGCAAGTTATTCCCCTTATCACAGTGACCAAATTCTCAAACACAGTTCTTATTGCAAAAATGGAACAAATTTAGAATATTACTGTAACCATAAACACATGCTTCAGCTTACATTTTTTTTTTTTTCCAAACTAGAAATTTCTACATAACATATTTATAATACATTATAAATATACACACCCATGCACAGTTTAACACACACACACGCACACGCACGCAAGTATACATTTGAAATAAGAAATAAAAAAATAAAAAATAAATATCCATTGAATGCGTAGATGCAGTTACATAATGCCTAGCATCACAACTTCACACGTATATGAATCCATAAATCGTATAAAAAAATTAGCGCACAGATGATGCGGTGAGTAATAAAAATTTAAAATAGATGCACAAACAGATGTAAAAATTACAACCCAAATAGGTTTGATCTGAACGTTGTTACATATAGTTGTATATAATCAAAGTCAGATTGAAGACCTAACAAGTACAGAAACATCTAGTAACACTTAAATTTTTTTAAAAATATTCAATCTCAGACAAAACAATTTAATTTCTAAACAAATCGACAGTACAAAATAAAGGATTTATAAATGAACTTACCATGTTTTCGAACTGGTGAGACTGTTAGAGAGTGAACGACGATGCAGAGAGAGAGCTGCGATCGACTTCGAAAACCCTTGGAGGAGAGAGTCGAAAACTTGTTTTAGCTGCGCTTTATATGAAGAGATGAATTAGGGTTTTGTGGTGGGGAATTTGTAATGACGTCCTTTGACTTTTAGAAAATTATTAAATGGACCCCAAAGGAGTTCAGAATTTGACCCGACCCAGCATCAGAAGAGAAAGATTGCAATTGACCAAAAACGAACTCCCTCTGTCTCAAAAAACTGTCTCTCTTAGGTAATTATGACTCACAATTTGTGAAACCGAGGTAATATGTAATTTCATCGTGGGCTGGGCACGTTTGGGTTAAATTGTCCAAACGACAATGTCCACGATGACCAGTTAAGGGGTTTATTCAAAATTAAAACCCTTAAAAAAATATTTGGACTTGGGTCGAATTTATGGTCAAACTCACTCCATTTCAAATCCTAAATTGCTAAATGAATGGCCTATTTGGCACAAGTTTTTTTTTTTTTGGTGTTTTAGTTTTTGTCAGGTACTCTAGCAATGAGCAGTGAAAACACATATGTTTTTGTTAAAAATATTTTAGTTTGCACAATACTGAAATGTTTCATGAACAGTAGTAAAAAAATAGACACATAGTTTGCACAATACTTAAATGTTTCATGAATAGTAGTCAAAAATCGACACACCAATTTAGTATTTTTATATATTTCTGCATTGTAACGTTTGATACTATAACAAGAACAATAAGTTTTTTTTTTTCAAATGACAATTTTAAAGTAACTATTATATTTTTCAAAACAATATTTTTTTACCAAATATGTTTCTATGTTTTGGCTTTCAAGAATCTTACAACAAATAAACAGCCAAACATGTTTTTGATTACTATTTAAAACACTTATTTTGTTTCAGGTTAAAACTAAACACCAAAAACAAATGTTTCGGATTAAAACAAAACGCGTACCAAGCAGACCCGAAACAACAGCCCTTGCACAACCACCCTTTAGATAACGAGCCTAATTTTCTCATGTTATATTTGGGAGCACCGAATTGGTGCCTCGAATTTGGTATTTAAAAAAATTTAATACAAATTTTAAATTAAACTTTCTACAATTTCAAATCTCAAATCTAAAGCGCCGATTCAATACTGCCAAACATAACATAAAATTAATTCCATATTAACCATCTAGCACCATCTTCCACTACTCTACCCTCTCTTTCCCTTTATTTATTTTTTTTATTAATTTTGTTTTGGCAATTATGTTAAATTGAATAACTTGCAAAGAAGATACATAACAAGAGAGAGCTATTCTAGTCTACAAGACTTCCAAGCTGGATTTGAAGAGAGGGTAAAATGTACACAATTTTACCTTCAAATGCTATATCATCTCTCGGGTTTAAAAGGAAGGAAAAATTATCTCAAACACAAATCACAATTTGTTAGCAAGAAAATATACGACGACTTGTAGTTTAACCAAAATTATAGCCGTTAGAATACTGAAAAATAAAATTATAGCATTTGAACCTAGAAGCTTTGGAAAGAAAAGTACAAAAAAGGGCTAAAGGCTTCCTTAATAAAGTCACCCTCAACAAAAATGAAACCTTCTCCACTCCAACACCGATCCAGTTTTTTTGCAGGCTCCGGTCTGGGTATGAAGAAAAGCATATATTTTAGATGGAGCACCAAAGCCAACATCAAATAATATATTCTGAGAAAATAAGAAAAAAATTGGGTAAAAAATTTACAGTGTCTTCATTCATGTCATTCAATAATGTAATAATTGAAGGTCGGCATGAAAATCAACCAAACTAATTACTGTTGAAAGTAAAATTCCTTTTCCCCATGTTTACAACAAGAAAACTCGGTATCTTGATTCACAATGACTCAACTCCTGTCAAAATTTGCCTATATAAACTCATGTGCTTTCACATTTTCTAAAGCAAAGAATATTAGTGTGAACCCAAAAATTTACTTTTGAAAAAGAGAAAAGAGCGATGTAGCTCAGGTCAACACCGATTGGGTTAAGTGTGTAGCGCAAGTTACGCTGAAATAAGACCCATGTATCCTGCAAATAAAGCCAACACGTATGAAACAGCATATGCAACTGCAACAATGATTGGCTCTTTCATTCCAGTCATTTCAAGGTGGTGATGAAATGGCGCCATCCGGAATATGCGGTGGCCGGTCCCTCGTAACCGTTTGGTGATCTTGAAAACAGATACCTAAAAGACAAGGGCACTCGGTTATCGGACACAAGAAAAACACAAATTATCATTCAGTTCTCCAGTTTTCAGACACAAGAAAAACACATACATCATTATTCACTACTCAGTGCCTATAGTAACATGTAAATGCAAAATTTAGGAAGGGAAATACACCAGTAATAAATAGGGAAAAAAAAAAACAAGTAATCCACTATCCCACCCGTCATTTATAAAAAAATCGTATGCTTGCCCACATTGAATGCCTGATTCCTGCATGCATCCATGCATATGATGTTTATGTATCTTATAGAACCCTTGGATGCTGCTCTCTATGCACTGACAAAATTTGCATTTATTTGTTCTTAGTTCCACCAGTAATATGTTCATACAAAATTTGGAAATTGACTAGTAATAAATAAAAAAACCATCTTGAACCCACCCATCAATAACAAAAAATCATTTCCTTATCATAAATCCATCAATTATGAAAAGTTATGCGTTTCTAGCTGAATGCTTGCTCATGTATCAATACTATTCTTGGATGCACAGACCGATTATGTAGTTTAATTAGAGATTCGAAATTCAATGCGCTTTAGGGTGTGCGTTCATGTTGCTGACTAACATGCTAAAGCAGCTTTTGGTTTGTAAGGAAATCAATTGTTCCGTCTATTTACCATCTCACAAATAAGTTGATATGGGAGCAAATCTGTTTTGAACTTTCTAAATTACAGCCGTTATGCAATAAGAGGGAGATGAAGCTATAAATGACAAGAGGGTGAGAAATAGCTCAACAAGGTAAAAAAACACAGCGAGACTAGAACACATGCATAGCATATGCACCCCTCTACTTGTCTGTGTTACTATATTAAGCAAGCATCTACTCCATCATTCCCAAAATAAGTGCCCCTCTTATGTTGCAAAATGAATGTCTTTTTGAAAAGTCGATGTAAAATATTGAATTTTTCCTAAATTATCCTTGAGTTCAGAAAACTGTCCTAATTAATAATTTAATGTAGTCAAATTTTTAAAGGTATTTTTGAAATTTCAAAGGAAGCATGCACTAATCAAATGTCTTTTTAAAGAGCTGGAGTCCCCAAAAGGGACATTCATTTTGGGACAGAGGGAGGAATTTTATCAAGGGAATGATGGTTTAGGAATCTTTTTCTGGAACAATGCTAACAGGCAATATAGGGACATTTAGATGAGTAAAAGTGACTGCAATAAGAAATTGAGAAATAACTGTGTCTACAAGAAAAGAAAACCATGATGTAAGGAGCACATGCACAGCGCATGCTTTCCCTCTAGTTTTTATATGGTATTGCATACCGCTATGCTACACAAAGAACAAATCCTGAAAAATAAAATGCAGAATGTGCCAAAAGGCCCAAAAACCCAACATCAATAGTCTCCTTTAAAAAATAAAAAATAAATAAATAAATAAAACCAATGCAATGCAATGCACTTCTCATTATATGGATTTCATACCAGGTTGTGGAGAATCAGCAAAATAATACTGTTACTTTTAATAAAAAGTTCTGCATAATATTTACTACTGAAAAATGTTTTGCAATGTACTATTTAAGATAAAACATACAGTGATAATAAAGGAAGTTCAAATTCCATTATGGATCAAATATGCATTATAGAGTACAACTTTAAGCAAGGCTTTCCGAAATGTTCTGTTTGGGTATTCAAAAAATTCATTCAACTAAGCATCCAACCAAAGCAGAATATGAACGGACTTTCTGTAATATGAAGTTTGCATTTTTTCAGCTAAAAACAAAGGGAAGCATTTTTCCAATCCAACAAAAAATACCACCCTTTCTCTGCTTTGTTTTTCTATTTTTTAAAATGTCTGTCTGATCAACCATCTACTAGCTTCCCCAGCCACAAAAAAGAATCTCCAGAAGGCCATATGTGAGTTAAGAGACCCAGGGAGGAAAATAAAAAGATCAAAAGGAAAAATAATATAAATTGATAGCGGAAAAATATGCCAAAAACTGCAGTGTCAAATGGAGAGTGGTATTATGGAATAATAATAATAATAATAACTATATATATAGATATAAATATTGAAGAAAAAGCATGCAGAAAATTATCACAAACATCAAATACCTGCATTGTTACTGATAGTGCTTCCAGCACAAAGATTCCAGATGAAACGAATAATGGAAGGAACATTCCTGTACAAGCAGCCATCGCAGCCAGAGCTCCACCTAATGCCAAGGATCCTGTATCACCCATAAATACAGATGCCTTGTACCGGTTGTGCAAAAGAAAACCAATACAGGCTCCTGCCATTGATGCACCAAATACAGCAAGATCTGATTTAATATGCAAGAGTTAGTACTCGGATAAAGTTCTGATAAATACAGGTAAGATTTGGTTCCAAATCATCTAAGAATTAAATTTCTGAAAAGCTGGGATTACTGCTATTCAATGTGCATGCTTCTTTTTTATTTACAAAACTAATAATTCAGATTCTGTTCTCGGGAAATGTTTAAATACTTGATATTCATATTCCCACTGGACACAAGGTCAGCTGATCATGGCATTGTTGACAAACACTTTCCAAAGGCAAATAACTGTGTGGTATACTTTTCCTTTTCTTTTCTTTTTTTTTTCAAAAAGAAAAATGCATGTTCTAAACTTTTTAAACTCCACTTCCTTTCAAATGGTCCAGTTTGACAGCTCTTAGTTGTTAAATCTATCACAGTTATTAAATCTGGCATATTCTTTTGTTGTTCAAAAGTACCGAAAACCAAATAGATTTTCTACCAGCTTCAACATTTGTCAAACCAAACCTAGATATACAAGTTTCATTTCGAAAACTGAAGTTTTATTTCATGCTGAGTTGATTATTACCATTTTGTTCAAAGAAATCGTCGTCATCACCATCATCATCCTTGCTTTTATCCCATATGAATGGGGTCGGCCACATGAATTCTCTTTTTCCACTCATTTCTATTACAAGCCATGTCTCCGATTTTGTTCAAAGTATTATCCTGTAATTAACAAAATGATATTCTAGTGTTTCATCAGAGGTAAAAAGTAAAAACACCATATCCACACCACTTAATGGCCATTGTAAACAACCATAATCAATTACACAAGTATAATTAGTTACATAGAAGTTCTGAGAAGAACTGACTAGATCTAGAGTTGTAGTTGTATACTCACCCCTAAAAGTTTTATTATTTTTTCATTTAATTGATTTTTTTAAATTAAAAATATAAAGATAAAAAACTATTAAATATTAGCTCTTGATAATTAGAGGAAATACAATAAAGATTATACATTTTAAGCTTAACGATAACCATACTAACCAGAACATATAGGAAGCACCGCAATCGACATTGCAACAAAAGCCAATGCAGCAGTCCCTCCAGCCAACCCATCAAGACCATCTGTTAAGTTAATCCCATTTCCCATAGAAACAAAGCAGAATGAAGTCAAAAATAGATAGCTTTTTCCCAAGCAAACTAGGCCCAGCGGGGCAGGTAGAGGAACCAACATTTTCCTGCTTTGTGAAACAAAATTGGTATGTGAGAAACGGCATCAGATATTTATGACAGTTGATGCATAAATATTTTCATGTAAAATGCAAGTGCTTTGACTAGAGAATTGTGTATAATCTTCAAGCAACCAGATAGGGCATCCATTTGTCACACTACTTCCACAGTTTTATATTGTCATTCAGATAATAACAAAATCAAACATCAAATGAAACGGAATAGTACACCATTGCAAACAATTAACAGATATTGAACAGCTATTTGCTTTCAGAAAATTAGCTGAAAATACTTGCACTCTGAACTACTTATTCATGGGATTCTCAATGCATATGCAAATCCTAATTCATTGTTTACCACATAATAAGTTTGAGCATTGTAAGACTGTCATTGACATTGGCATGTTGCATTTGACTATATATTGTGATTTTACATAATGAATTTCTATATCATTAACTCATCAATAGAGATTTTTCCTCTTTGAATGTTCAGCATAAAATAGGCCAGACAAAGCACAACTTAATGGCATAACAATGATGAAATATACTTAAAGCCCTGCTCATGTGATAAGGCACAGCATTAGTTGGTCTCCTTACCACCAAGTCATAGCATCTAATGTCAATTTTTTCCTAGTATGCTAGGATTTGCACATACTACAACCTGAATACTACATAGGAATATAAGGTTTTGCCCAGACTTCAACTTGAATCTACATATAAATATAAGGTTTTGGTCAAACAAGAACTTCAATACTATGTATAAATATAAGGTTTTTAAGAGCCTCATGATCCATTTCACATTACTATGTACACAGAACATATCCAAAACACAAAGCTAGATCCTCTTCATTCCTTGTGTTGTTTATCTGCTTCAATTTGTTTGAGACATGCCTTGAGCCTAGCCCTGTGTTTAAGACATATCCCCTTGAAGTAGCAAATTGTAATGATAGTTTCATCTTCTTCTATCCATTTCTCATATACGAACGATAATTAGGGTTCCTTATCTAAAAGTCATAACATGTTGTGCCTTTTTTTTCTTTGTATCACTTAGTACTACAAAATATATATATATATATATATATTAAGGTTTATAAGAGCCTCATAAGGCTCCATTTCACATTACCACATACTCAATATATCTAAAAAACTAAAAGCAATTTGTTTTTAACAATGTAGTTTATGGCACTAATGCTTTATAAGGCCATAATGCTAACCAAGTCTTCTTTTTCCATATGTTTTGTTTTCTGCTTCAAATTGTTGTAACTATTTTTTTTCTTCAGTATTTCAACTTCCAAGTTCTTAAGATTAATGTTTGTTGTTCTATATGACACTAATCTGTCGGTCAAGAATGTCCATAGTTTAAAAGTGGAGGGCATGAGTTCCAGATTATCCTCCATTTTTAAATAAGATGAGATTTTTTTATACAAAAATAAATAAATGAAGTAATACATTTTTCAGCTCTTTTGCAAAGATATATACACATGTCAAAAAACACGGCTATCCACTGGACGGATCTCATGCTAAGTATCCCCTTGTCAAATGATGATTTGATGATCCGGGAAGAACTTATTGTGGGTTTTCCCTTCAGTTACTAAAAAATAAATGTTTTCTGAAGGAATAAAGCAATCGTATATTCAACATCAAAGCATGGTTAGCATGTAACGAGGCAGCAAGTATATAATCAGGATGTTCTCAAAGATCCACGATTTCAGTGAATTTTTCTAAAAAACTATAATATTTTCAATATATCTTTTACCTGTAGTTAATCAAACAAATATTTAATGCATCTACATATAAAAATTTAAATAATAATAAAATAATAAATAAAAAACTGACACCTAACATTTTTACATAGCATCATAGATACCTAACAGGAAGCAACTACCAAGTTTCATTGGATTTTATATGGAAGAATTAAAATAAAAAGGACAATGAAAATAGACAGACAAACTGACGAATACAGAAACAAGTAGTAAAAGCACGTGTAAACTACAAAAAACATTAAAAATCATGGGACCAGAAAATCTGTACATTGTCCAATTTACTAAAATAAAATCTGTTATTATGTATCAGGTTGAAGCAATCACATAAGGTTGGTAAAATATGTGAATCAAGTTATTGTACAATAGAATTTAAGTCTATTGGAGTAATACTAAGTTAAAAAAAAAATGAAGACTTTAAATTCTGAGTGACAATGCTTCATTAGAGAAAGACATCGGAAGGATAAAAAGTTTCCTTTTTTATTTGTGTACATTTTCACTAGCTACATAAACATAAGAGCTGTAATTGTAGAGGGTGGGAAGGTAGAAAAAAAAATCATCAGAAAAAGAGAGAGAGAACAACAACTGATGCCCGCTTAGCCATAAAATAAATCATTTAACAGATAGTTTAATCTCATGTATTCCAGGGAAAAGGAACACACATGTTAGTTGAATTATAAACACTAGTACAAATTCAAACAGAACTTCAGATTCCTTGAATAATTGACATCATGAGAACAGATATGTGAGTTACCATCAGAAAAATGTTGATCAGATTAGTTACAAGAAAGTATACATGCTGTAGGGTGATGATATATTTGTGAATGCCAACCAAAATGAAAACCATGTTCCAACAGCTACCTGCAAAGCACCACAACTTAAGATTACCTAAAATGCTGATAACCATCATCTAGAAGAAAGAAAACAAATAAAAGATATAAGAGGGAGAAAGCAACAAATGTATCTTTACCTCCAACAAAATTCTCATCCAAGCAGATAAACCATTGTTATCATTCTTAATAAGGCTTAAGATGTCATCAAGAAGCCCAATTGCAGCAAAGGCTAGAGTTGCTGCTGCTGCTCCAGAAACTTCAATAGAAGAAAAACCAACTATGACTTCCGCAACAATTATACCAATTGGGATAAAAAACAATCCACCCATAGTGGGGGTTCCTTTCTTAGTGGAGTGTGTAACAGGCCCTACTTTTCTGATGATTGAGCAAGCCTTCAAACTAAAAAGTATTGGGACACAAATGTAGCCTGCACAAGATACTAAAACTGCAGATATACAAAAAGGACGCATCAAATAAAACGGTTCCAAAGGCAGTCTGACAATTCTCCATGCACAACAATCCACAACAAAAACCAGCACTGTCAAGAAGGTAATCAGCCCAATATTGTTCATGACTCCGTATTTAATCCTGTAATTAGATTGTTCCGAAAGAAACATGTCAATATAAAACCTTTAATTAATAGAAACATCTTGTTAAGTCGACCAATATTGTGTACATTACAAAAATAACAATTTTTTTTTACATTATCCATGCAATATTGCTATCTTCAGAAAGGGAAAACAAAAATGCAAAACTAGACATTTGTGACTTTACCAACCAGCAGCAAAAATAATAAACATAAAAGAGAACCCCCATGAAACATTCAAGTGTGATAGACCCTATATATATGCATATATATATATTACTACATAATAGTAAGACTGATGACAACTCAAGATATTGAACACTACTCAAGAACACATCTGAAAGACCACAGGGAATATGCTTTTAAAGTAACTTCAACAAAATCCTAACAAGTAGTTTTTTTTTTTTTCCTAGTTGATACTCACACACACATGTCTCTTCTGAGACTTGAACTTTTGACCTTCCTTTGGGAAGTAAAAGGCTGATACCGCTAGGCCACTAGCCCGTTGGTCCTAACAAGTAATTCTCTCTTTTTAAAAAGGACCAAAAATGTGACTCTACAGCTCTGACAAGTCATAGAAAAGCTACGGATTGCAATATGAAATGTAAGAGACTAATAGCTACACCTTTAAATAAATAAATTAAATTAAATAAATAAATAAAAGAAAAGGAAATGGAAAGAAAATTACCAGAGATTCTGCAAAATATCATGCAATGTTTACTAGATAGTGAAATTCATACGAATTCTTTATAATGAAGCATGAAACAATGAAACTTTGGCCAAAATATGAAAGCTTTGACCAGTTTTTAATGTGATAATAGTAAAGCATTCTCATAAACAAAATACTCCCAAAGAACAGCAATTGGGTTTTTTGCACATTTGGATTTTTTTCCCTCCAAAATGCCAAAAGAAGTCTACAGAACATTATATTCTACTTTGATGTTTGAAAGAGATCCCCAACATGGTAAAACTTTGCACTTACGGATAATTTAATTAAAAATTACACAAAAATTTCATTAGTATACACCATTTTGTGGAATCCTTCAAAATCATGCTGCACAACGGTGAAGAAAAACAGAAACTCTAAACGATTGAAAGTCAAGAAAGGGAATAAGACTGGTAAAGCTCTATCTAATAAAGAGCAACAAAGCAAGCATAGAAAAGTAGAAATCAGTATTGAGTAAATAAAGGGGTGCTATTGCCTTCTTTTCTTGCGTCCTTTCCCAATCATTGCAAATCGGTGGGCAGTCATGGTTAAAGCATCATTCGTTGTAAGAAATTTCTCTCTAGTGCTAGGCAAATCAACATCAATCACTGGATTTAGCAAATATTCTCCGTCACTATCGTCACCGTCACTAGATGTATATTCAAAAGCCTTGTCATTGTCTTCCCAGTCATCAAGTGAAGAGATCCCCTAAACGACACAATGTGAAACATCAGGTGCATTATAGTCATGCATTAGAAACAATAAACTTTGTTTTGATATAGATGTATCCTGATAATAATTTACAAGACCATAATGCTACGGCCAAAGACAGCAAAAACCATATTACATAGCAATACAACGTTACACTTATATATGAATTTCACCTGTAGTGGGCAAGATATCGCCTCCCAAGCCATATTAACAAATTGCACTCTTATTTGTCCTCGATCTTAAGTTGTGTTTTCTTCTCAAAAGGATGAGAATTCTCAAGAATGTGCTTTGTTGACTTGAGAACTGGGAATGGGGACAAGAAATGTAGTTTGCTAAAGAATTGTTTTTAGTGTAAAAAAGTAAATCATCACTAGAGAGAAACTATCAGGACAAAAGAGGGGTTTATATACACCAAGCACGGACTGTACGGTTTCACATCACCATCTCTCACAATTTAACAGTCAAAGCTTCTTGGGGTGCTTTTATGATGTTTTTGATTATAGTATTCTATTTTTACATGCGGTCTTGTGATTTATATGTCATTCTTGCAGAGAGTTAAGTACATGCCCTCTTTTGTTGTACTTCTTCCACTGTTAGTAAATTAGTTCTTGCAGGTTACTCATTCCTGTGGACTTAAGCATACATTGGACTAAGAAAATCTTTCTCCTCTTATTTATTTATTTTATTTCCTTTTAACTTGGCGACACACTTTAATTCACTTGCATTGTTGATCTTCACTAATATGGAGATTTTCCATGGATTGTTCAATCATTGTTATTTGGAATTTGTAGTTTATGCCAAATCAATTACTAGCTATGAATCTTTGTCAAAACAGAGAGAGAGTTTCTTAGTTTACAGTTTCATGGTGTCTGTTTAATACTTTAATTCATCAAATAATTCAAAGTTTTTCATTTCTACTTTGAACATTTTCTAGAAGAAAAAAACACACATTTACAATAAATCCAACAACAAATAAAGTAGACCATCATCATATATTAATTGGACAAAAAAAAAAATTATACCTCATCCATGGCACTAACTTGGACGATCTTACGTCTCAGTCCGTGTTTTCTGGCACTTGATTCCAAGCGCTTTACAAGAAGCAACAAAATCAATCAAGGGGCATTTATATTATCCAACAATTATATTATCAAACAATCATCTAATATATATATGTGTGTGTGTGTGAGGATTACCTTGAGACCAAAATAAGAGCTGGGTCTGCGACAACAAAGAGTTGAATCGAATGAAGCGCGAGATGTGCTTGGTATGATAGAAAAAAAGGAGCGTTTGGTGGATCGGAAAACCCCCTGATGAGAAAAACAGTGGAGGTTCGCCGAAGAAGAATGAGATCGCATGACTGCTGTTGAATCTAATTGATATGACAATTACAAGATAATAACTCTGAAGGTAGAGAGAGAATGTGAAGGATAGAGATTGCTTTGTTTGTTGAAGCATTGCGTGTATGCGTGTGTTTGTGTGATTGGTAAGGTACTAATGAGCAAAGGAACCATCTTATATTTAGGAGAGAGAGAGTGGGGTTAGCGTCGTTGTGGAGGGAAGAGAGGAGAAAAAAACAAATCCACCTGACTTCGAAATTAACGAAGGTGCGACTTTTTGGGAACGCATATACCATGTTATTCCTCCATTTGGTTGTTAATACCTGTAATAAGTGGGTTACTGTAGAAATAATTGTAATGATTTCCGGAGTACCAAAGTGGTACGGAGTAAAATTTAAGTCACCGAGAACAGAACCGAACGGGGAAGAACCAATATTGTTTAGGATAATTATGTGACTTAAAACTCGTTTGACAATTATAATTGTTTTGTATTTTTATTTTGATCCGAAATAAAAATAATATTTTAACTTTAGAGTATATTCAATATTATTTCGAAACTTATTTAGTAACGTAAATTTGTTACAAAATTTTTTAAAATAAAAACATAAGGACATGTTTAATAAAAAGTGTTGCAAGTTTGAAATTTTGAATTGTTTGTTAAAAATGTTAATTAAGATTTTTTTTTTATTTTCTTTTTTTAAACAGTATTTTGCTGCGGTACAAAAGTAAATAAAAGTATCATTTTGATGATTCTGATTTTGACTTCAACTTTGGAAGTATTTCAATACTATTTTAATGATAATAAATATTATCAAACATGCGTCCTACTTTTATTTTGTTACACATTAACAAAAACAGAAAATACAAAACAAAAACATTAGTCTAACGAGCCTTTAAGCAATGATTACTTGTAAGTTGTATCCGGTGACAATGATATTAGTAACCCGAATTAGATTTCGAGTTGTACTATCTCTGCCAACTGACGCTAAATATGATGGGCACCACAGAGGCTATTGTGTTTAGCCGGTTGTGGTTGGTAAGAATTATGCTTAGGTTTTTCTCTATTTTATTCTTTGCATTTTATTTTATTATTAAAAGTAGCTGCTTAACAATATTCTTGTTAGTCAAAGGATGCATGCACTCACAGTAACAACGACGAACACTTCTACGAAGGTGTGTGTTTGTTGACACCTTGTTAGACGTAGATACTTTATGGACATTTTTAGACACGACCTTTAACACTTTATGGCTTTGTGTATAGTTTCGAAAATAATTTTTATCATTCCGGACACTTCGTCGACGTATCTTGAACACTTGGCTAACAGATCTCGAATACTTAGTCAACAAATTCCGGACACAAGATAATCTTAGAATGAATATTATACACATAATCAAAGTGTCCAACCTCCTTTCATTAAACAATTGAGATGAAACACCTGTCAATATATGTAATTAAAAAAAATATAACTATAATCTAATAGCATATATAGTATAATATATGTAATTCAATTTTTAGCTGATGCAACTTTAATATAAGAATTATAAATTAATTAATGTTCTATTATTGTCTTACTCAATAGATATATAAATGAGAAATTATATTTATATTAGTTTATGTTCAAGCTATGTGTCCTACTTTTTTAAAATTAACGTCTTTGTGTCGTATTATATCCGTATCTCATATTCATGTCCATACTTCTTAAGACCTTATTGTTTAGGTATTAAAGCCTTAGGAGCAATTTTGAATCATAGGAGAAGTTTCTGGTATTTAATTTCCCCTCCCTGTTCTATAATTGATGGCAATGCAGTCAATGAGTATAGAATATAGACATAAACATCAATGGTTCTATAGTACATGGCTGTGAAAAGAAACCTACCTATTCTTTCTTGGTTTCAATTCCGACTTTAGAAGTTGATGCCTGGAATGAAAATGATGTTGAGTAGGATCACTTTTTTTTAAGTAGGTAAATAATTTTTTTTTCCAACTTGAACCTAAAAAGAAGAAATGTGCCACAATTGTCAAGACAATCGACTCAGAGACAAGGACGTGAAACCCACCACAGTCTATACCTGGCGCCTTTCAATCAATTGTGGGCTCTTAACAAGTTTAAAATTTTCCTAAAACGAAACATCTCTATTTAAAAGTGAGTCAATAGACAAAGGCTTAATCTCTCTAACAATCCAACTTAAGATCCATCATTTAAATCTTACATTTGAAGTCACACTCGGGACTTTTTCTCCCTCTTTTGTTTGTATCTGTGGCACAGCACCATAATGGGCAAAACTACAACCCTGAATTTTACCATTCCCATCTCTCCTAACAAAAATTTAAACTGAAACTCCATATAAAAACAGACATGGGAATATGATTTACCAACACTTGCATGCCAAACCATACAACATAACACATAGAGCTTTGCCAACCAAACAAACCCTTCAAACTAAAGCAAAACCAAAACAAACAATCCAATCCCCAAGCCCAATGTCAACAGCAACTCTCCAACCCTCTTCCTATCACATCCTGACACAGCTACCCTCACATCATCCACCACCGGCCCGCACAGAGAGCTCTGATCATCGCTTCTCGTATTGTAATACACGCTGCAGAACGCAACGCGTGTCCTCTCAGCCTTGGCAGTGAAGTTCAGAGCAGCAGTCTGGAAGGTGGCATTAGCATTGGGCGTGTAATGGATGCTCTGGGCTTGATCTCCAGCATAGGCCATAACTGCTAGTGGTTGCTTACACGAGTCCCCGGCATGTCCCAAAGAGAAGGTCAGTCTGTATGGCTTGTTTGGCGTGGTCGCAACCATTTGGGAGATTATGCCTTCTTTGCCGGAGAGCAATTCGATGGCACGTTTGCCTTCTGGAACTGTGAAATGGTACGAGTCAACGTAACGGACGGCCCTGTTTGATTCAACAATCCAACCGGGCAACGAGGATGTTTCTTCATCGAGGTTAGTGGGGAGTAATACGCCTAGAGAGGCATTTCTGAACATCCATGGGCCTTCCTCAAAATCACCGTTGAGTACCGCATTATCTGCATAATTGTTGTGATAAAAAACCCAGTGAGCTATTTGTTGTCAATAAATTTGTAGCCTGGCTAAAAGTCTAAATCTCACCATGAGTTTGCTCTCATCATTTCAATAAAAACAATATACATTTCCAGTGTTTCTGCTATCCCCTAAATATAATAAACTCGGAAACTACTGCCTTTCATATAAGCATTATCTGGCTAATCTAACAAATTAATCAATCTTCATCATCACCACTCTGTCGCCACAGAATCCAAAAATTCTTTTGTGTTTTGTATAAAAATAAAAAATTGGAAAATAAATGAGGTTAGGTTGGAGTTGTTTGGATTTTGACAACTAATTTTTTGAAAAAAAAAAAAAAAATCTCAAGGAAGCTATTAATGTCTTCAAAACTTTAAGCACATACAAAAAGGAAGGTGATCCAAAAATAAGATATTATGTTATAAAGTTTAGTTCAAATTTTGTATTAATTTTTTTCTAATCCTAAATTCAAGGCGCTGATTCGGTGTCACCAAAAACAGCATAAAGTATTCATCATTTGCATTTTATAAAAAATTAAAATGAACAATGTAAACAAAAACCCCTAAAAAAGAACAATGCTTTTTAATTCTATGATTCTATACTTCAATTGCCGGGCCGCCGCGGGGGGGGGTTGTAACGAGGGGAGCTTCTCCCGCATCGGATCCGGATGAGAATTGTAATGGGTATATATGGGTTGGGTGTTAGCCCCACTTAATAGTTTACACTTTTTGGTCGAATTGCAAAACTCCCACCCATTACAGTTAATATTAGAACTAGACCCATCCATGATACGGTGTCACGTCAAGTACCAGTCCAGATAAGCCACCCAGATAAATAGCCCGACCACAAAAGTTTGTCCCACATCGGATTCAAATGATGACAAATGTAATGATTATATATGGGTTGGGTGTTGGTCTTACCTAATTATTTTGGCTTTTAGGTCGGCTTGTGAAACACGCACGCACCGATACACTAGCCCACGAGGATGAGGGTGGAATGCACCCTGCTTCACCCGATACACTAGCCCCCGAGGATGAGGGTGGAATGCACCCTTCCTTTGCATTGAGATGCTAATTTGTATTAAAAGTTAATTTGTTCATGATCTAATCACTTAGGAGATACGAAATACTTTTTAATTGTTTTAGAAGATGATTTTAGTAGTAGGTCACCAGACCCAATCAAAGAGAGGTTATGATAGTCCACATTTAGCTGTGGCCAAACATACATACTTAACCATGAGATTGATTAATCAATCTTACCTTTGGGTTTATCAGGAGTGAAGAGCTTCTTGATTGCAACGTCATCAATGATGGGTCCACACGTGGGGTCATCCTCCATCCCGGGGTTCTTAAACACCACCGGCGCATCATCCTCCTCCGCCAGAAACGCAAACGTGTACGTATCCCAGCCGTGCACGTTGTACAGGGTCTGCAAATCAATGGTCTGTGATGCCGGTGGGACCGACACGTTGAGTGACTCGAGCTGAGCGCACGTGCGGGCGGCACTGAACGTGACGGAGTAGAGCGAGCCCTTCTCCAGCTTGATTTGTTGGCTGATCTCGGCGTCGTTGCCGAGTCGCACTGCGTGTGTACCTTGTGGTACGATGAGGAACATCGCACCTTGTTTTTGCCCAGATGCGATTAATTCTACGGTGCCGTTTAATTTCCAGCTGGGGATTGTGGTGGGCCCATCTCCAAGACCATCGTTTGGAAAACCGCCTGTAGGTGGTGTCTCGAAATCACCGTTGATCAGTAGACCTGCACGATTAAAGGGATTGAAATCAGTGTCACCAATGGGACCCACTTAATCGAGTACTGTTACACTGACCTTGTGGGACCGTTTTATCTTGGAAGGGAAAATATATATATATATTTTATTTGGATAGGGTAGAGTTTGATACTCTAACCCAAATAATAATTTTGATTAATTATTTATATAAAATTCAATCAAGTGAAGATTTCACTTTTTTATCTTTTGTACAAATAATTAATTAAAAGTAATATATTGACAATTTACATTAAAGCAGCACTATTCACTGTAACCATTGGAGTACCTCGAGCCATTTACATTAAAGAAAATTATTGAATTCAACATCTTGAATGCAAGAAAATTATATTAAAGATTGGATTTCTAATAGTAAATTATTAAAAACAAATTGAAACGAAGTGAATTTTATTACTAATTTTATCATTTTATTATGATAATGTACAAATATATCATTTGGCATGTAGCGATGACTGTGATTTTAAACAATAGTGGGGAGTGGGGGACTACTCAACTCACTAGTCCAATCCAAAGCCGCGTCAAGCGAGTGGGGACCCACCCCACCGCTTAGCGCGTCTTTTTGCGCGGCGATCGTCGCAAAATTCAAGATTCGCGACTCAGATGGGTCGGGAATGGCCCACAGTAATGCACCAAATCCAAATGGGTCATTCCGAACGTATCTGGTGACAGTGGCCTTCACAGAACCACTCTTGTCATTTTCTCTCACACATTTTTTATTTTAATTTTTTGACAACAGTTTTTTAAAAAGCTGAACCACACCAGGTACAATGCGTCCATGGATGTTACTATCTCCATCTTAAAAATAAAAATAAAAAAATAAATAAATAAATAAAAATAATGTCACTTTTAAAAAATCATAACAAAGCATAGAAAATCATGATTTCTGAAAAATGATACTTTTTATTAAGTATTAAAGTTTAATATCAATTTCCTATTATATATGCACACATATAAGCATGCACTGTTTAACAGTGCATGCTTATTGCTTACCGGTGAATCCTTGAGTGAGGAGGATAACCATTTAAAACAGTGTTCACATAGCATCCAAAGGAAATTGTGGGGTCAAGATATAATTTCTTTACCAAAAAAAAAAAAAAAAAAAAATCCAAAAAGAAAATAATAATAATAAATAAATCAAAAGTATAATAATAAACAAGCATCTATGCAAGATCAAGAAAAGAGCAACCTAATGTTGGACATAATGGCTGTTCAAAAAAATCAAGAGTGTTGTGACACAATCTCCAAATGTTAGAAAAGAGCAAGTATGGTATAATTTTTTGCAAGTGAATCCGTAAATGCAAATTACAAGCTATGCTGCTATGAGCACAAGTCAAAACTTTTATAACTTTAAGATTGTAAAATTGTTCACCTATTTTTATATATCAGTACCAAGCAATCTCTTATTTGTCAAGAGGGGTCCAGTTACAACTTTAGCAAGGACCTCCTTAACTTTTGCTCTACCTAATTTGCTTCAGATTCTTTAAAGTTGGTTCTGTACATCCCCTGGACTCACCAAACACCAGGCAATAAACCAACCCCTTGGGCCACCATTGGATATTTTCCGGGTAATTGCCCCGTGCATGAGGGACTACGTGTGCACGTTAACGTTGGTGAATTATGAAATGCTCTAAGAGACCGGGTATTACCATCATTGAATCAAAAAAAAAAGTTACTCATTCCACTAAATAGCAATAGATATTTTAGCTGTTTAGCTTCTTTGGCACTAACAGGATAGCCCAGCTACAAAGTTATGTGTCTCTCATTTAAAGCATAAATCATCATTCCAACACGGCAAGGAGCCCATCTAAAAGTGCATCAAGATTAGATCAGAAGGCGTGCCTGAACTAAATTGAGATTAAATGGATGAATAAATTCGGGTTATCCAAAAATATTACTATATTGTATTCTATTATTAAAAACAAAATAATACAGGCAAATTCAAGCTATAGCGATTGAGATGAATACTTACAAGACTGTTCTACACAGAGTGACTTATGGTACGTTTGGTTGGAGAGAAGGACTGAGGAGAGGGATGGATGAGAGGGGATAAAAGAGTTTGTTTGTGTCTGGTTGGGGGAAGAGAAGAGAGGGAGGAAGCTTTATCCCTCCTTCCTAGGGGGGAAGAGGAGAGAGAGGGAAGGCTAACTACAAACAAATATGTAACTTCCACTTTTAACCTTCCAAAAAAATTGTTGTTAAATCTTGTTGTGTTATAATTTTATATAATGAGGGTATATTGGTAAAAGGAACAAAAACACTCTCTTTCCCTTCTTTCCAACCATTTTCCTTCTTTCCAACCAAACAGAAAACAGAAAAAAAGTGCCGTGCATTCATCTTTTTTACTATCTCAAACTAAACAAAAAGTAAGGGTCCCTGTCCCTCTCCCTCTCACTTCCATCCATTTTTCCATCCATCCAATTAGCTTATAGCCCAAACAATTTGCATAAAATATGGACATGTCTGAACCGAAATTTTGATCAGAAGGTGTGCCGAAATTAAATCGAGGTGCAAATGGCAAGAATAAGAGGGGTCCATATGATAGATTTCGGATATACTTTAAAAATCAAAGATAAATTCAGAATATACAGAGTTTAGTATGAAGGCTTATTAGAACAATGGTGAAATCAAACAATCTACATTTTGCAGTAAGTTTTGGACAAGTTTGACCGGAGACCAGTAAAATACTGGTGGTGAAGAATTAAAGACCTTTCACACATGCTAACTTAGGAGAGCTAGAAAAGGGTTTCCAGAGGGTAGTCAATGAATGGTGGACCTACAATGTTGAATGCTTCAAGACTACAATTATCACAATTCAATATTGATGTAGGGTCAGAAAAGGGAATTCAATTATTTTTAGTGGGATTAAAGAAAAGAAAAGAGAATTTTTTATTTATTTTTGGTAAGTAAGGTAAGAAAAGAGAATTCAAATAGAAAATCAAAGAAAGAAATAAAATAAGAAAATAAAAAAGAGAAAATGCCATTATGTAATGTTGGTCCCAAATGTTCCATGTTAACAAATTGTTTTAGAGCTCAAAAGATTTGAATCTATCCATTTCTTTATATCGTAATCATTCGAAGTATTGATGTTAAAAGAGCATAAGATGAAGTGTTCAAGTTTGGGCACCCACTGGGTATAAAGTTATAAACAATGTTAAAGATTATAATGGGAAACAAATTGAGTAATAGCTTTTCTTTCACTCATTTGGGAGCATAAATTCCTCATCCTCCAAACTGAAGCCACTCAACAAGGGGCACTCAAATAGTAGTATGCAACCTTACTTTCACTTCGGATTTCAAACCCGTGATAAGTCTAAGGGGCACTCAAATACTAAAACATATTAATCACTTGACGAAACCATTATATGATCTCTACACTCATAAAAATTGATAATAAGTAACACTATGAAAAATCCCAATTCCCGGGCTAACCAAACAGGCCGCTAGTATAATTTTGTAATTTCTACAACGTTTTTGCCTTCACTATAGCTGTAAAATAAATTTCGTTTTTACCAATTCATTGCTTTCAATATGAAATTGTACTACTGTTTAACATCATAGCATCAATCCCTAATTGAAAAACCCCCAATACACATGATTTTTCATCAATGATAAGACATAAAACTATACCCACACTGAAGAACAAATTAAAGAAGGAAAGCACTTTTCCACTACAGTACTAATCAGATCTCAAATGTAGGAAGGACCCATCAAAGAACAGACCAAAGGGTAAAAGATTAATGTAGTAACGATGCTTTGCAGGAGCTAGATAGAGAAAATGAGCAGTGAAATATGGTATTTAGAGAGAGAGAAACAGAGAACACGTACCGTCTTCTGCTAGTACATCAGCAGCTGAATGAGAAACCAGAACCAGAAGCATACACAGTGAGACCCATTTGCCTCTTGTTGTGTCCCAAACCATCCTCACGGCCGAATCCTCTCTATCTTTCACTCACCAGTCTCTCTTCCTCTCTCTAAAAACAGAGTACGCGAAAGAGGGAGTGAGAGAGTAAGACACAGATGAATTGTCGTTTTATTTAAGATTCCGGGTATACTGCATCCAGCTCTTTGGTCGCTTTACTCTTTCAACTCAAGTTGCAAATTACTTTATTTAAATCAAAGATCACTTTTGTTTGGTTTTTTTTTTTTTTCAAAAAAGTGTGTTCATTTATTTTTATTTATTTGTAAGAACGGCGAGAAAAGTATTTCTCAGTGTTCACATATATAGGGTTAAGATTAGGGCTTACACACATATATACATATATAAATGGTCCGCCGTATTTTGACAGTCATGAAAGTCTCGCGACTTTACTAAAGTTATAGTACAAATTGATCATATTTTATATATATATATATATATATACATATTTTAAGGAACTTTTACTAATACATGAGCTTAAGGTCCAAATATTACAATACAATGAGGTGAAAGTCTTGAAATAACAATAAAATGGGAGGATCACACAAACTATTTCTTAAAAATAGGTGGATCACACAAACTATTTTTATAAAATGAACTTAAATTTATACCTTGGACATACAACAATCTATATTACTATAATAACCCAAAACAAGATATTATTATAACATAAATTTTTTAGAACATGAAATAAACTTAAGACAAGATCCTTGAACAAACTATTTAATATTTTTAAAACTTTTTAATTTTTTCACAATAAATTAAAATTTCACAGCAGATTAATATGAATTTATAGACTTCTTTAGACAAAAGATTATATATATAAATTAAATTAAACGAAACAGTATAGGCTCTGATACCCAAATTAAATTCAAATCAACCGGATAGAAACATGCAAATAACATAAAGATAAAATTAACAATTAAATCACATAAAGAACTGCCTAACCTGATAACGCTCTGATAACGCCCTGTAAAAACACCCGAACACGGACAAGAACGGGCCAATAAGCCAACAATTAGAGTTAATTCACAGAAGAAATTGCTAAATTAAAACTAAGGCTGTTTATACTGGTTGGATTCAAGAAAATTATATGATCTATACTGTATGGCTAAATAAAATCTATATATTTAATCTTTTTGTCGACATAAGTCTCTTGCCTGAAAGTACTAAAAAGATTAAATAAGGAAATGGAATTTTTGAAAGGAGCAAACTAGATGATTTATTTCATAGGAAATATATACATGGATACACATTGTTTATATATGGATACACTCTCACGCAATAATTTACAAAATGAAACACACTGAAAGAAATCACAAAGGAAAACACACTGAAAACTATAGCTGAAGGTTGTAATGCTTGAAGGTTTTAGACTTGATTGTTTTTTACTCGATGATCTCCAATTGAGCTAAAGGCCTCCTTTTATAGAGAAATCTGAGATGTGAATCAACGCTTGAGATTGCAGATGCAGCATAGATGACTGAGATGTAAGATGCTTTGGAGATAAGGTTCATTGAATTATTGAAACATCCTTATCTTTAAATTGTTTGCTTTTGTCTTTGGAATCTGCTTTCGGTGGATCTTGGCTGCTTTGGATACTGTTACGAATCTGCTTTTGGACCTGTTTTTTATCTTGATACTATTGAAGAGTCTGTACACTGATGGGGAATCTGTTTTTTCTTTGGATGCTCTTTAGACTTCTGTCATATTGGACAAATTTCTGTTGGTATCTCTATCAAGTGAGATGTCTGGTGAGCTGGTTTTTTCATCTTTGTAGGTTAATTCGTACTACCCAATCAACATCTTTTCTTCAATTATTATTTCTTCAATCTCTGGAGATATCTCAGTCTCTGGAGGAGATCGGATGGCATGGGAAATTCTGGCTTTGATAAAAAATTTCATATTTACATTATGGTCGAAAAGTCTAAAACCTGGGTTATAGCTTGGGTTAAGCTGTCGATAAGCTTTATAGTACATCAAATGGTTAAAGGTACTTGGGTCAATATTATTATGAAAGTTATTTACAAAATCGATATGTCTTGTCAGAACCTGGACTTATGTTGGATCAGAATGAATGTAAATTTGATGTTGTCCGAGAATTACAGCTCTATTTTTTACCCATTCTGGAGGAGTGTTGTGGATTTGAAGGAGAATTAGACTTTCTGGCATGAAATTTTGGGTTTGTTTTTGTTCAAAAATAATAACTTAGTTTAATCGATCAGGAAAGTTAAAAACTTCTAAAACGTCTAAAGGCATGTCTTTAGGTATGGTAATGCTATGAACCATTCTTAATCCTAAGAGTTTACTCACGTAACATCTGGTGGTTCTTGTTGAGAAACAGGTTTTTTCTGATAATATCAATAGGAGAATAATGTACAAGGTCTAATTCTAACAGGATTATGGTAGGTATGTAGGTGCCTGTTTGTATAAATCTTAAGAAATAATAATGGTATCGGGTTCATTTAGGTGGACTGTTGTTTCTGAGGTAGTTTTGGATATCAACCCATTCTTTGAAACCATCAGACTTAGCTTCTTCAAGGATAAGTTCTTTGATGTTTTCAGGGAATAACTCAACTTGTTGTCTTAGGATTTCTCTGTAAGTTGGAGAGAAAATGGGTAATAAATTGGCATACTTGGTTTGTACCTGCAGAAATTGACCTTTCTGAAGATTTTCATCTTTATTAGTCATTTGCTCAGAAAATCTTAGTTTGCTAAATTTAACTTTTTAAAATGAGATATAAGCGTCTCATGTTCTTACTGAAGAGTATGATATGCTTTTTTAGAAGCTAAAAAATATTCACTTAAAGTGTTTAGATTTCTAACGAGGGTTCTATCGGGATTATTTCGAAAAAACCAAATAATATCTAAAATAAGTTTTTGGTCTGGAAAAAGATTATTGTGATACCCCTCGATTATAGAGTCACGGGTGATCAAATCCGAACACAGATTCGAGGGATACCAAATAATTAATATTTAAACAAGTATGATTATAAGAAGAATCTAATGAATAAATAAATAAGCTGAAAGAATTCTAAAATATAATCCTGAAAATTAAATAATTAAAATCCAATAATCCTAAAACCTCCGATAATTAAACAACTCGGGAATCTATCTAGTGGACCCCTTATAAAAGCCCAAACTGAAAAGTAAACAACTGAAATAAAATCTAAAGCTAAACCATGAAGAGAAATCCTACGTCGTCGGAAGAGTGAGTGACAGTCTCTGCTCAGCACGAATAAGTTTTAAGCCTGGAACTTACATACACCTAAAAAATAAGAGTGGGTCAGGCCTACGAGCAAATTCTACTCTATTACAATCCAAATAGAGACCCGATACCCATGTACATCCTAAACAACTCAACAATAGCTATATAGTCTGTACATATATATATCCACACTAAGGGACTCTTACTGGACAACAGGCCGATCTCAACCTGACTAGTAGACAACATGTAAAACGCACTTGAAGTGGGCATGGGTACCTAGACCTAACAGGGTACACCTCCAACCATCATAGCCAACTATGCATCCTAATGCATATATGCTCCCTAACCTTCGATCCTGATACTCAAGCTCATATCGAGGTACCATAATTATATATTTTAAAATTCATCCAAACCAAAGTGATGTCATTCAACTATTTGTTGACCTGACTTAAATATAAGTAGGACTAACTTTTATTGTTAATCCGTTCCCTTATTCCAGAGTATGTAAGACTTATCGTTTTGAACTAATCCATCCCTAGTATGCCATCGTCCCATACCGATGCATACAATTCACAAATCCAATAAATTGATGAATTAAATAGGGATACATTTAAACATCAATTAATCCATAATAAGCATAATTAAAATATGTAAAATAACATGATCATATTATGCTATTAATACATGCTTAAAACTGTATTATCATTCATATAAAATTACTAAAATAAAGCTAGGTAATTTCTATATCCATATCCAGTACAATATGCAAATTTGTTAAAAACCTCACATTGTTCAAATTTCTAGCAATAACAAGTTTATTATGTATACTGGATTTAAACTTATCCCTGTAAGCTATGTAAATCTGACGAAGGCCGCTCGGTGAACGCCAAATTGATGTAGTGAATATGCGGTTCAAGAAAAGTCTTTTGGGTCAAGTTTAAATTTATAAAAACCACTACCAACACTACTACTAAAGTAGCAAGAGTGAGTAGGGATCGTCCCAAGGAATTGTGGGGATTGAGCAATGTCGTGGAATCGCAATTAGGGCTAGTAGGTCGAGTGATCAAACATTTGGTTGGTTGGTTGATTAGATTAGAGAGCAACTAAATTAAACTAAGTAATTGAATGCAATGAAGAGTAAGTAAGAGAGAGAAGAGTCTTAGGGTTTGGAGATCACCACTAAGCAATGCATTTCTATATTATTGACAAGTAATTAATGAGGGCAATTAGGGTGTTGCAATATTGGTGTGTGTGTGTTTGGTTGATTCAACAAGTAAGGATGACTAGTTAAGCATGTATTGTCTAAACATTATGTGAAAGGCACAATATATCTAAGCAATGAAGCATATATTGTCTAAACAACATGTGAAAGGCACAATAAATCAAAACAAGTCATTAATCCTTTCATTAGGCTCACAATCCAAATACAACACAAGATTAGAGACATGTGCTACTTGTATTCAAAAGCTTGAAACATCAAACAACAAGTATGAATTGTCCTCCCATTTAACATTACATTATAACTACACTACATAGCATGAAAGTAAACTAGGGAAGAGGCACAATCCATCAAGGAATAAGTATGAACCATCAAGAGAATCACAATAGCATTCATTTAAGCACTATGTTTTGACAATCTCTAAATCCATGGTATCAATACACATAGACATGCATCAACAATACAAAATCTAGAGACAAGAACATGAACATCAATTCTAGCATACATGACATATGCATAGAATGAAATGATCAATTAGAAGTATTAAACCACACAAATTATTGATTAAATAAGATCTATATATATCAAAGTGTCAAAACATTAATTACAACACTAATCCCTCAATAATACACAAGATTAAGATATAGAAAGCATGTTTGGGACTAACTCTAGCCCCAAGATGATGTCTAGCTGCTCATGGTGAGGATGCTCCAACCCTCAAGGGCTAACTCCATGGAAGAGGTTTGCTCCTTGTTGATGAAGATCTCCAATGGTGTCTCTAGCCTCCTCTTCCAAGCTTCCTTAGAGATGGTATATCTCCAAATTCAATATTTTTCTCTATCTCCTCTATGTCTCCTCACTAAAAAGCA